ATTTATTCAATTTCAAAGGCAGTTATAAACCATAACTATATTTATTATTTACATCAATCATACCAAATACAAAAATTTAGGCTACCAATTTTTAACTATTTATTTTGCTTAATTGTTACATTAGTGTTTATGCGTTTTTGAAGGCGCCTGAAAATAAGAAAAACACACGACCCGTCTTGTAGCTCACATGTGTCTTTGCCTCTTTGCTTTTTCATGCCATTAAATATTTAACCCTTCAGCGGTTTTTGGTCCCAACAATCAAAGTATTTTTTATTTTATTTTTACTATTATATAGGAGTTCATTAATATTACATTTAATAAACCAAACACTATTTTTATATATATGGAAAAAAACGAAAAAAAAATTGCATTCCGAGTCTTGGCCTTTTTTTTTTTTTTTGGTCACAAAGTCTTGGCCTTGTTTTAATTAAAAAGAAACAAAACATAAATGAATTGAAAAAGAGTGTGCAAGTTAGTTACATAACCAGTGGCAAAAACGTAAATACTGTCTAAAATTTTCCACTGACCAAGTTTTTCTATAAATTGAACCACTCGCCTCCTATGTTTTTCCCAATTCTAAACCAAACAACAGATTCTCATAATCATCTCTTCTTTTTCCTCTTTAAGGAAGAAAGATCAAAGCTTCCAAGTAATCATTTTCTCTCTCTCTCACACACACATTAACTAGTTTCAATCTTCTTTTATGTTCTTCAAAAGTACTCAAAACTGATCAAACTTCATTACATACGTGCAGGTTCAACAAAAAGAACAAGGACAATGGCTCTTATAACCTTCTTGGTTCTAGCTATCCTCGGAGTAATGACGTCATGTGTCAATGGCTATGGTGGTGGTTGGGTAAACGCACACGCCACATTCTACGGTGGTGGTGATGCTTCCGGCACAATGGGTAATTTACAATTCTCTCACAAGGCTTTTAAGCTTTCAAGATTTTGGTATTTGATTACAATTCTCAAAAGTCTTTTGGAACTTTTTTGGTTTTCAGGAGGTGCTTGTGGCTATGGAAACCTTTATAGCCAAGGGTATGGAACCAACACGGCGGCTCTAAGCACGGCTTTGTTCAACAACGGTCTGAGTTGTGGTGCTTGCTTCGAGATAAGATGTCAAAACGACGGAAAATGGTGTCTCCCTGGCTCGATTGTCGTCACAGCGACTAACTTTTGCCCGCCAAACAACGCTTTACCGAATAATGCAGGAGGTTGGTGTAACCCTCCTCAGCAACATTTCGATCTCTCTCAGCCCGTATTTCAGCGTATCGCTCAATACAGAGCTGGCATTGTCCCCGTCGCTTACCGAAGGTAAACCTTTTTCTTTACATTAGAGCATTTGACATTTTAAAAAAAAAGCAAGAAACAGAGTTGCTCTGTTTTTGGGTTTCGCAAAAGCAAGAATCTTATTCTGTTTTGTTTTTGTTTGTAGGGTGCCTTGTGTTAGAAGGGGAGGAATAAGGTTTACGATAAACGGACATTCTTACTTCAATCTTGTTCTGATTACCAACGTCGGAGGAGCCGGAGATGTTCACTCGGCGGCGGTTAAAGGATCAAGAACAGGATGGCAAGCGATGTCGAGGAACTGGGGACAAAACTGGCAGAGTAACTCTTACCTAAACGGTCAGGCTCTCTCATTCAAAGTCACAACCAGCGACGGTCGAACCATTGTCTCTAACAACGCCGCACCGGCAGGCTGGTCCTTCGGTCAGACCTTCACTGGAGCGCAGTTACGTTAGGAAGGGGAGAGATTCGGTGAAATCTGATGTCATTTGTCTAAGTCAAAGTGGTTCGTGTGGTGGTGCAT